CAAACAAGATTTTCTTTCCATTTCTTCGTTTTTTCCTTTTTTTTTTTAACGTTTTCTTCGTTTAGAAAAAAAAAAAAGAAACAGATGAGAGAGAATTTTTGGAAGAGAGAAGAAGAGAAAAAGCAAAAAAGAAAAATTACAACAGGTAATCATTCTTTTTGCTTAATCACTTAACTAAGTTCCTTTTAAATAGGCATAAAATTATTTTTAAAAACACAAAGTGAAAAGCAAATTTTATATTCCATAAAAGTATGTTTTACACTCCTTTCCTTATCATTTTATCATTTATCATTCATCATTACTAACTAACAAATATTGTTGTTAACTACTATCATTATTATTGTCTTCATCATTATCATTATCATCATCATCATCATCTGCATTACTAACTAACAAGTATTGTTGTTAACTACTATCATTATTATTGTCTTCATCATTATCATTATCATCATCATCATCATCTTCTGCATTACTAACTAACAAGTATTGTTGTTAACTACTATCATTATTATTGTCTTCATCATTATCATTATCATCATCATCATCTTCTGCTTCATTTCATTATCCATTAATGATACTTTCTAATGATATCATTGAAATAATAATGAAAAATTTTTGATTTTAAACTTTTCAATGCTATCATTTTTTTTTTTATTCAAAATAAATTTTATTTTCATCTTCTTATTTCAATCGATAATTTTACACTTCCTTCTTTTCTTGTTTATTGGTCAGAATGGTAAAATTATTTTAACGTTTCATTAAATTAATTCTCAAAGGTATGTCCAAGCTATCTACCGATGATAGTAATGGTGACAACAAAAGCAACAAATGATATGAGCGAATATTATGACAATTTAGGTGACAGTTTTTTTTTTGTACCAAATTGGAAATTTTATATTTTATCAATTTTGACCAAAAATAAAATTCACTAGTATTTAAAGACATTTTTACTTATATTTATTTTCTCATCAATCCCATTTCTACCTGTATTTAATTTCCCAACAATTGTTGTGACTTTAAAATTGTAATTCTTCATAAGAATTTATTCAGTGAATCATCATCCTGAAATTAATTAATTAATAAATGGTAACTAATTAAATTACAATAATAATTCAGTGATAATAATGATCGTTTCATTTGCTTTTCGCTTCCCTAACAATTTTAACAATTTTTTTCTTTTTTTCTTTTTTACTTTCAATAATTTTTTGTTTAAATGGTAAAAAAAAAATTGCTACTATACAGTTTGTGATATTGATGCTTTTTTTTTTTAGGTCAACGTACAATTTTGACGTGACATTGATATTAGCATAATTGTCACGTTTTACGTAATGCTTATTACTTCACACGTTATCAACAATCTTTTCCTTCTTTCCCTTATCATATCAATTGAAGCTGGTAAAAGAACCAGTGAAAGATGTCGCCAATTATTAGCTTGTACACTAAACAAAAATTGTCTTAAGGTATGGTATTAAATTAAAATATATTTGCAAGATATATATAAATAATTAAATTTTGTACTAAACTTTTACCTTGTTTTGTTCTTCTTAATTAAATTAATAAGAGATAATATGATAAAGAATTTATGGAAAAATTAAAACTTTTTTTTTTTGGAAAATTAAAAATATTTAAAAAATGAATAATCAATAATCAATTAATATTTTCCAATAGATATCATACATTGCTGATCAATTTAATGCATCCATAATTACCAAAAAAGTTTATAATGATGTGGATTCGAGTATCGATTTTGGTTGTATATTTGCATTTGGTTGCATGGAACAATGTGACAAATGTCCACTTTGTAAGATAAACCGGGAACAATTGCTTGATACTTTATCTGGTAGTCAACAATCTTCAAGAAGTTCGTAAACAATTCATTACTTATCTAATATTTTAGCTAATTAAAATATGGCAAATAAATCTAATTAGTTAATTAATTTATCATAAATGACTAAATTTATCATCTGTTTATTCTAATTATTTTTGTTATTTGTTTATTTATTTATTTACCTTTTTACTTATTTATTTGTTTATCCATTTATTTACTTGTTTATTCACTTATTAACTTGCTAATTTATTAATTTATTCATTTATTATTGCTATTATTATTATTATTACTATTATTTTTATTATTAAAATTAGAGTTATTAATGAAGCTACTACGGATTAGAATTAGAATTGAAATTGAAAAAAATAAAAAGGCAATAAAATGGACAAGCAAGTGATCAATTCAATTTGGTGTCTCAAAAAAAAAGAAAACCAGATTTTTTGTTTTTTTTTTTTCGCTATTTTTATCGGTAATTCATATTTTTATGATCATTTAAATGCTATTTATTATCATTATCCATTCTATTCTTTTCATTTTTTTTTCTTACTATCACAAAATTTATCTTATCATTTCATCTTGAATAATTAATTATTTACAAATATGAATACTTAAAAGAAGTGAAAATGTTAGTAAAATTACAATAGTAAAACTACCGATATATATAGAAATGGAATTGAAATTAGAATTGGAAATGAAATCTGGAAACATTTTCTATTTTCTCTTTTAAACTATATATATATATATATATTTCATCTAACCAAATAAGTTATATATTCAAATAGAAAAAAAAAGAAAGTATTAAATATCGTATCAAATGGTGGAAAAAAAAAAAGAAAATTGATAAAATTTTTTTTTAATTTTCAAAAATAAATTGATAAGAAATGGAAGAAAAAAAAAAGTAAGAATTGAAAAATTAAAGCTAAAACGATTTCTTGAAAAGGAAAAAAAAAAGAAAAAAAACAGTTCAATGATATATTTTATCTTTTCTAATAATTATTATACAATTAAATTAAATTATTATACATTTAAATAGCCTAATAATTATACAATTTATATTAAATAGTAATTAGCAATTCAATTTAAATACAATTAAATTAAATAGCATTAAATTAAATGTAATATAAATTTTTTAAATTATCGGAAGAAAAAAAAGAAAATGATTAATTATTGGAAGAGAACGGCGGGAAAAAATAAAAAGAAGCAAAAAAAGAAAGAAAAAATTATTGAAATATAAAATTTGATTGTAAAATTTTCAGATGAATGTTCAATTTTGGTGAAATGTGCTGAGCTATGCGTACAACAATCAACATCTAGTTTTGTTGAAATTAAAATTGCTTACGTGATCAATGCGCTTATTATTGCTTCAATGGTTCATGTCCAAGATGTAGCGCTTTTGTCACACGACTTTTTACATTAATTTGTAAAAAAGCTAAATTACGGGAAAGGATTAATTTTAAGGTTGGCTAATTAATTAATCCATATTTTGTTAATTTTGAATGTTTTCCGAAATTTTATATTATATCTAAACTAAACTCAGGTTT